CCTTTCCGCCGGCGAACTTTCGGTTTCTAGTCCTTCGCTTTCGTTTCCTGCTGCGGGCTGGGCGCTCCCTTGGAGCCGCGTCAGCTGACTCGTCTGCTCCAGTGAAGCTGTAACCAAGGTCGGCAAGGGAAGAGGGGAAGAGCTCCCGGGCCGGCCGGCTGCGAAGCTGCTGCGTGCCGGGCTCCTTTTACCGGGAGCGCGTCTGCCGAGGGAGGAGGCTGCAAAGGCGGCCCCGCTCGATCCCCCACGGAGATGACCGCGGAGGACAAGGAAAGCCTGCGCCGCTTCGGGCGTTACATCCACAGGACGCTGAACCCGGTCTATATCTTGAGCTACATGAAGGACTGGCTCAGCGACGGTGAGTCGGGGGGGGGGGGGGAGGGGTTGACCAGGGGCCGCGGCCCCTCCGTGGTGCGATGCTCGGACCCGAAGCCTCAGAGCATCTCCCCCCCCCCTTTCCCACGGAGATCCCTGGCCACGATCGTCTGTGGGGAAGGAGCCCCTAGGTCAACTTAGAAGAGTTGGACTTGGCTCCATGGTTAAAATCAGTCCCCAAAGAAGTCCGGGTTTACTTAATTAGAAACAAACCCCCACACCCCTTCTCGTAATGTTGTTTCCGGGAAGTTTCTGTAATGAAATGGAGCGTTTGTCCATACTGTATAGGCAGAGAGAACCATGTTAGGAGATTCGTGGCTGGGCATGCACCAGGGGGGAAAATGTTTGGGGAGGGTGCTTTCCAAAACAGAGGGTGCATTCCAAAACAGAGGTTTTCTGAAAGAAAAATCAAGTTCTATATTAAACCTAAACTTGTTTTCTGAAGTCACTCAGAGGGAGTATTGTGGGGCATGTTGGTCTTGATGTGAGCAAATAGACTTTGGTTCAAGTAATAAAAGGAATCCAGGGATGGGAGGAAAGGAGGTCTTGCCCCACTCTTATCACTACCCCCCCACGCACTCTAGGTTGTATAGCATTTTTTTTAAAGGTTGTGAAATTCAGGCCACATTTTTTACAACATTCCTGTTTGGAAATAAGTTTACCATTACTAATTGATTGATTTAAAATATTTATGTGCCACCTTTCTGCTAGGATTCAAGGTAACTTGAAGTATTAAAAGAAACAAAGTTAAAAGCTCAAAATAAAGTATTACATTGTTACAAAGCCTTAAACAGATCTCATATTAAAATTTATAAATAAGAGCAATATTAAAAACACAGCAGAATAAAATAGCCTCTTTTTTCAAAACCCTGGTTAACCAGTCATTTAAACGAAAGCATTTAAGCAAAAGCTGCCTTGAAGAGAAAGGTCTTTGCCTGCCTGTGGAAGGACAGCAAAAGTGGGGCCAGCCTGGTCTCTTGTGGGAGGGAGTTCCAGAGTCTGGAAGCTGTGACAGAAAAGTCCCAATCAGACATGCCTGTGAGGGTGGTGGGGCTGAGAGAAAGGCCTCTCCTGCTCTAAATATCCAGGTACGATCATAAAGCTTCCAGAGCTCATACGTTCCATTAAGTTTATGTTGGTTTCTGTATTTGCTTTATATGGAACCTGCTTTATATGTTTAGCACAGGAGCTTGATATATTTTATACAGTGACTCTAGTTGCTATATAGCTGCAGTTGATGGCAGGTCTGTGTCATCTCTCATACAGAAACTAATAATGACTGCAACTTTTTTATTATTACAGCTGTTGTTTGTTTTTCCTTCAGTTGTTTCTCTGAATGCTGCTGTCTTCTGAAGGCTTGCCATATCTAATTAAGCTGTTTCCTCAAGTGGATCAAATAGTGACAACTGCAGAGTGAAAAACTGTAGTATCTTACTCCCTGCCCATTGGGTAGGCCTAGCTCCTGTTAAAACATGACTAATGTGGGAGCATGATTTTATAACTTTCATAACTTTGAGCAACATACTGACACGCTCTGCAGGGGATATTGATGAATAGCACCTTGCAATGTGCAGGATTTGTTTCTTTTAAGAGACAGACTTAAATAGCAAGTCCTTTCCCTTTGTGAATAGTATAGTTTTTTTAGAGGTCCACCTGGAACTGGTTGGCATAAGTTGGTTTGCAGTGTTATAGTTACAGCCACTTTATAGTTGCAGTTGAGCATAGGTTCCGATGTTAGCAACCCATAGAAAAGAACGGTGGGTGATGTGATTCTCACCATGCTGTTATTTATTACCATGCTCCCATTTATTGATGCTGCATTTCTACCTGTGCGTGGGTATTTGTATATGAATACCCCCATCTCTAATTAAAAACTCCAGATCATCTATCTTGATGAGCTGTTAATGAGAGGAGCGGATTGTTGTCTTTTTAAGGAAACTTTTTAAGATTAGGAAAAAATATTTTTATATTGTGTTATTTTATGTTTCTTGGATGTTGCTCCTGGGGAGATTGTCCAAACAGTGATTGCTGGTGAATTGGGGGGGGCAAGACTATCAAACAAAACATAGATGCCAGATCATCTATCTTGATGAGCTGTTAATGAGAGGAGCGGATTGTTGTCTTTTTAAGGAAACTTTTTAAGATTAGGAAAAAATATTTTTATATTGTGTTATTTTATGTTTCTTGGATGTTGCTGAAAAAGTTTATTACCTGTAATTGCACTGGGAAAGCTTTTTGTTTTGAAAGATGGTGTGAATAGGACACTGGCGAAGGCTCCTATGGTGGATTGTTTATTTATTTATTTATAAATAAATAAATAAATAGCCCCTGTCCAGGCCTTTTGGGGGATAAACAGACTGTTTAAAAGCTTTTTTCCTGGGGAGATTGTCCAAACAGTGATTGCTGGTGAATTGGGGGGGGCAAGACTATCAAACAAAACATAGATGCCACCTGTGGACTTGGGGTCAGAAACCGTAGCTGAGTGAGTGTGATACCTGGAGGAGGAAAAGGGGAAAAAATGGGTCCAGGAGTATGCCCAGACTGCAAACCTTCAACCTTCATGGAAAGAGTAGCTCTACCAAACAAAAGGGAGGCCCCTACCTGCATACACTAGGGGCACCCACTCATAGGATCTCCATCTTGTCTGGATTCAGTCTCAGTTACTTCTCATCCATCCCAGCACAGCATATAGGCAGTGCTCAAGGGATGGGACAGCATCCACTGCAGAAGGGTGGAAGGACAGATGGAGCTGGGTGTCATCTGCATATTGGTGACATGAAACTCCAAAACTCCTGATGATCTTCCCCAATAGCCTCATGTAGATATTTAAAAGCAATGGGGAGATGATCAACCCCTGAGGGGGTGGACACCATCTTCCTGAACTGTACTCTTTGGGGCTGGTCCTCCAGGAAGGAATGCAGCCAGGACAAAGCCAGGCCACCGATCCCCGACTCAGAGAACCTCCCCAGGAGACCGCTGTGAAATCGAAGAGGACCAAAAGGGACATTTTTACCCATCACTTTCCCTCAGAAGGTCATCTTTGCAGGGCGACCAGTGCTGTCTCCATGCCATGATGTGACCTGAACTCCAGAATGGAATTGGTCAAGGGCACTGGTCTTCTCCAGGAGTGTCTGTAGCTGATCGGCCACTACCCTCTCCACTAGCTTCTGGTACTTAGGAATGGAATATTAGGGTTCCCTCCCTTCTACCTCCCCAACCTTTACCACAGCAGTTCCCCCTCACACTAGTATGGCTGCTGCCCTCCACTGGTTTCCTCCTTAATTGTGAGTAAACCAGGTAAACCTTACTTGTGAGCAAACTGGGTACACTTGATGCTCTTAGACTTGTGTGGACCCTTCTCGCAGGAGAATGAACCTCTCCGGTGTGAACAGAAGGATCACTCAAGTGAGACCCCAACCTTTACCACAGCAGTTCCCCCTCACACTAGTATGGCTGCTGCCCTCCACTGGTTTCCTCCTTAATTGTGAGTAAACCAGGTAAACCTTACTTGTGAGCAAACTGGGTACACTTGATGCTCTTAGACTTGTGTGGACCCTTCTCGCAGGAGAATGAACCTCTCCGGTGTGAACAGAAGGATCACTCAAGTGAGATGAACCTGGGGCTGGTCCGCGAGGAAGGAATGCAGCCAGGACAAAGTCAGGCCACCGATCCCCGACCCAGAGAACCTCCCCAGCAGAGAACCTTTTAAATGAGAGCCAGATTGCTCCAAATTCCCCATCTGGACAGGCCCTCATTCTCCTTCACAATCTTTCTTTTTCAGATAAAAATATATGTTGCGATAGTAACGGTTCTTGTCTGGCTTCTTTTTAGAGACCGTAGAGAACATTCAAAAGCTTAAGGAGACGCCTTCGGCTGCTGCAGAGCTATTTCTCCAGTCCATTCTGGAGCTCACGTCCGTGGGATGGTTCCGTGGATTTTTAAATGCCCTGCATGCAGCAGGTAGGAGGAGGGTGGCACAAAACTTAATTGCTTTCTCATGCAAGATATATTTGGTTCTTCCGATGAGACTCTTCCTGGCAATTTATGTGTGTGTAATTGAAATTACATAAACTGCAGCAGCTACTTGCTGCTAATTACCGAGGTGCTGGTTGTGTTTAAAATAGATCACACTGAAGGCCAAGAACCTTTGAAGTGAAAACCAGATTGCTCCAAATTCCCCGTCTGGACAGGCCCTCATTCTGCTTCACAATCTTTCTTTTTCAGATAAAAATATATGTTGCGATAGTAACGGTTCTTGTCTGGCTTCTTTTTAGAGACCGTAGAGAACATTCAAAAGCTTAAGGAGACGCCTTCGGCTGCTGCAGAGCTATTTCTCCAGTCCATTCTGGAGCTCACGTCCGTGGGATGGTTCCGTGGATTTTTAAATGCCCTGCATGCAGCAGGTAGGAGGAGGGTGGCACAAAACTTAATTGCTTTCTCATGCAAGATATATTTGGTTCTTCCGATGAGACTCTTCCTGGCAATTTATGTGTGTGTAATTGAAATTACATAAACTGCAGCAGCTACTTGCTGCTAATTACCGAAGTGCTGGTTGTGTTCTTGCTGCATCGCAATAGTTAGTAGCAATTTTCTGCTTTGAGTTATACGTTTTGCTTGCTCATGTGGGAAATGGTAGGATTCTGGTCTCTGTCAGAGTTTTTGGGTTTGTTTGTTTGTTCTTTTGAGGAAAAATCCTGAACAAAGGCTGCTTTGTTAAACCAGGGTTGGGTGCAGGATGAGAGTCACTTGAGATTAAGAGACAGTGGAAGATGGTTGCAAATGGGTATTCTGCACCAAATCTGGCCTGATTTCTGTCGGAGTTTTTGCGTTTGTTTGTTTGTTTGTTCTTTTGAGGAAAAATCCTGAACAAAGGCTGCTTTGTTAAACCAGGGTTGGGTGCAGGATGAGAGTCACTTGAGATTAAGAGACAGTGGAAGATGGTTGCAAATGGGTATTCTGCACCAAATCTGGAAAAAATTTTTAGCACAATAACCTGTGTAGCAGAGATAATTCAGCTATCCTGTTCAAAGAGCTGCTTCTATTAGATTTGGGAAATGAATTTTAAGTATCAGTCAGAAAGAGGAAAAAAATAAAAATGGAACTTTGTCCCCCTTGTGTGAAGGTGCGATGTTAAGTGAAATCTTTGGCATGTCCTGGCAGAAACAGTGACAGGCCTCACGGATATAGAATGATTTCTGTTACTGTCATTAACTAAGAGCCTTACACAAGTGGCAGTGCCAAAGGTGGAAAGGCAATACCCCTGATTAGTCTCAAATGTATGGTTAAAACCATTAATATATTCCTGTGCCTCTACATGTGTCCATGAAACCTAGGTAAATGCTTTTCTTCTAAGCTGTGATGCTAAAGAATGATGTGACTGTTACTTTTGTAAATGTTCAGTTGTTATTAGGTGCCGTGAAGTCCGAACTGATTTATATCGACCCTAACAGGGTCTTCAAGGTAAGTGAGAGATTTAAGGAGTGGTTTTCCATGGCTAAGCAGGGATTTGAACCCTGTTCTCCAGAGTCCTAGTCTGTCACTGTCCACTGCACCACATTGGGAATCCAGTTCAGTCGGTTCTAGTTAATAAGGAAATGTCAATTGACTGTTGCCAGTAAACTGTACGCTGCCCACCTTCTTGATAAATTAATCACATGGTTAGTACAAGAAAGCATCATAGCTGATGAACGGGCCAGTTTTAGAGCTGGGAGATCTATTGGTACTTCATCATCTTGCTTGGAAAAAAGAGTATGACAACACCAGAAGGGGCTGATGCAGCCTTTATCGACTTTATATTGATATTTGATACAATTATGAGAATTAGATTAAGAGAAAAGTTTAAAATCAGTTTATGATTTTGTGGTGTGTGGTTTTAAGGGAATTATGCCTTAATGATGTCTGTGTTTCTGTTCTTCAGTGGCGGGATACACTTTTTTCTGGGATTGCCTCTTCTAGAATTTACATCATAAACATGTATTGCAACCAGAAAACGTTTTCCTTCACTTCTTCATTTCCCCGTGTACAGTAAACAATGGATAATGGGAACTCACAAAATTCAGCTGTTGGCCAGTTGATGAAGCGTCTTGATTTGCAATGTTGTTAAATGTGGAATGAGTGGGTGGGGGTTGCGGTAGGTTAATGCAGGTGTTTCATGCTTTTCTGCCACCTTGTGCCTATAGGTTACACTGGCCTTTTTCATGCAATTGAAAATTGGAATTTCCAGCTGATCGAGGATCTGGAGCCTCATAGGGAGTTGCTGAAACGGATTGAGCCCAGTTTGCTCGCTATTGATCCAGGTCAAATGCTTCCCCACATGAAGGACTGTCTCTTAGATGAGGAATGGGAAGAAATTCATCAGGTATTATTTGTGAATGCCCAAATCCTCATGCTAGTTGCAGCTTAAGTAGACCCACTGAGTCAGCTGCTGAATGGTGTGACAGCATTTGTGTAAATGTGATTGATTCACTGGGTTAACTTGTGTTGGTCTCCTCACTGGGCCTGTCCGGACAGGGCATTTGCTCCACAAAATGTACCTAAGTGGCCCCTTAAGTTCCATCCTCTTCCCCTATTATCCAGATGAGATCACCCCTCATTCTGATATGTACTGAATTAAAAGGGGGTTTTGGTTGCTTACGTGCCTTTTGGTCCTTCCCCAATCCCTTAGTTTATTTTATTCCACTTGATCATGTGTCCCTTCCCAGTCTAGCTCTATCTCCTGCACCATCATTTTTTCACATGAGCAGGAATGTGTCTGGAGAGGTACCAGCTCAAATGTAGGCTTTCCATATGAGCAGAGACTTAAAGTTTAGACTTGTTGCTTGCACAGAGAGCCTCATATGAATAGGAGCTGCTTCTCTTCAGACTTGCAGCTGTTAACATGACCAATGCAATGAGGGAGTGGGCAGAGCCAGCAGCTATTCTCTAACCATGTTGGTGAGTCTGGATTATAAAACAAGTAAATAGGAATATTTCAGAGAAATATAAAAAGAAGCAAGGCTGATAAACAAAGGAATACAGCAATTTGCTATGCAGAGTTTACACATCTGAAATGTTATTCAAACTTTTAATACTTTTCTGTTTCTATAGAGAATGTTTATTTCTCTCCTTGTCTCTGTCTCTCATATGCTAAGAGTTTTGCCTTTTTTCATTTTACTTGCAGGCTAAGGTAAAAGATGGTAAAGGAGCAAGTGCAAGGAAATTTCTTGACTGTTTGTACAGGTCAGATAAAGAAAACTGGCCTAAAACTTTCCAGATGGCACTGGAAGAGGCTGAATATTACAATGAAAGCAAATTGTGGGATTTGAAACAAGGTGTGGAAACCTCTTTGCATCATTTCTTGGGTGTTTGAAGGAAATATAAACTATAGTAGGACCCTCATATCTGCAGGACCAGTATCTGATGATTCACTTTTCTATGTTATGAAAATATTAAAAGAAAAATCCTAGAAATAAAGTTACCAAAATTGGACACTAGAGGGAGCCAAATTATTGCTATCTAAAGTTGTGCTCCGCTGGACGATTACCCCGCTCTACGACGAATCCACTTTACGTTGACGTTTTGCGATCGCAAAACGATGTTTTAAATGGGCTTTTTTCGCTTTGCGATGATCGGTTCTCTGCTTCGGGAACCGATTCTTTGCAAAACGATGTTTTTTCAACAGCTGACCGGCGGCTCTCAAAATGGCCACCAGCTGTCAAAATGCCCCCCCCGCTGTTTTCTAGGACGGATTTCTCGGTTTACAGGCACTGAAAATGGCCGCTGTATGGAGGATCTTCGGAAAACGAGCAGGTATTCAGCCCATTGGAACACATTGAACGGTTTTCAATGCGTTTCGATGGGTTCTTTATTTCGTTTGACGATGTTTTCTCTCTACAGCGATTTCGCTGGAAAAAATTAACATCGTCAAGCGAGGCACCACTGTATAGCATTTGTTAGAGAAATATATTTCTATGTCATCACCAGAAAGGATCACTAGAGGGAGCCAGAGACTATTAATGTTCGCTGTAATCTACCTTTTGAGCATCTGCAGGGGGACTTGGAACTGATCCCCTGCGGATATAAGGGTCTTACTGTAGAGTACTTGCAGGGAAAGGACAAGGGACTTGGTCACAATAAGATGCATTCCAATAGCAGGAAAAGTAAGATCCTGCACTTAGGCAGGAGAAACCAGATGCACAGGTACAGGATAGGTGGCACCTGGCTTGACAGTAGCAGCTGTGAGAGGGATAAAGGTGTCCTGGTGGACCACCATCTAAGGATGAGTCAGCAGTGTGCTGCAGCTGCCAAGAAAGCCAACACAGTCCTAGGCTGCATCAATGGGGGGGGGGAGCATCAAGATCATGAGAAGTGATAGTACCACTCTATCACATCTATGATGTCCTCTCCCCCCTCTTTTATGATGTGTAAGGAGGAAAATTTTCTAGTTTTACAGCTTGTAAGGGTAGTGAAATACATTATTAGAATCATTTTAAGTGGAATTTTCAAATTGTATTCCACTTTTTTTCCCAATCGTAAGGGTGTTTTAAACTAAAAAAAAGTAACATAACTAGTAATAACATGAACTTTAAGTAAATAAATAATAGGAACTCATCCCCTGAGGTGTTGGAGTAATATGTTTTATTTAATTTATTTTTCAAAAGTAATTTTTCAAGCTGTATATACAGCCTCTGATACTGAATGTGGCATGTAGCCATAATGACTTTTCTCTGCCATGAACCTGTCTAAGCTTCTTTAAAAACTGTCCCGGATGATCGCCATTGGGGATTGAGGATGCCGCTGGCAATTTGGAGACGATTTTTGATTAGTAAATGGAAATGGATTATTAATGGTTTTGGGGACCATACGGCCTTGTCCTGATTTTTTTAGACTGTTAAATTCTCCCTCACCCCAGGCCATGCGGCATCCAGAGACTTCGCTAGAGCAAAAGGGGGGGGGGTCTGGGGAACCTCGGAACCTGAAAGGGGGCTGAATAAGAAGCTTTCCACTAGTTTACATTACTTCCAGCGCCAGATCTGGGTTACACCAGTGTAACTTGATGCAACAGGATTTTGCCCGTTGTGTGTTTTAATGATGTTTGATACAGTTGCCGTCAGAAGTGGCTTGTGGAGCAGGGCAAAATAGGCAGGCAACTCCAAAGACTTGGGGGTATCCTCTGCTTAGTCACAAGCTGCCTAAATTCTGGCCTTCATGAGAAGCATGCATGCAGTCTATTCTTATCTTTACAAATGTTTTTTATGAGACACTACACTCGGGCATAATTGTGTTAATCCTGCATATATACAAAACCAGGCGCATGAAGCTATTCTAAGTGTTCCACAGGTGCTGCATTATTCAGTCATAAATATGAGGCATAGAATCTTATTGAGGTAAATAGAAAGTCAGGTTCTCCATCAGGTTGCCTGTTTTGCGCTACTTTTCCTTCTCACAGTTATTCTTGATTGGTGGTGTAGACAAGGAATTCTACTTTGGGAATGCTCACATAGTAGACCTCTGAAGGTTCTGGTCTGCTGTGACCAAGAATAATAAAAATAATAGACTCATGATTATATATCTGTCTTTATATTGTGTTTAGCTGATGATAATAGCACAGATGTTCCAATGACAAATGGCGATGAGGACCACAGTGTCTTTGACATGAAGTTACAATATTATGAAGAACCAGAAACTGTTGATCTTAGTGGAAGTCCGTCTTCACCTTCAGGTAAGACTTCCAAATCCATCTTTATACCCGAGGCATAAATGAGATCATGATACACCAACTTCAGAAGGCTATCTTGTTTGGAACAGTATACTTTAAAGAAATACCTATGTATACCCTAGGACCTTGGGAATGACCTGACAGCCAGCCAACATTTGGTGGGAAGTGCAAAATAGCATTAGTAATGATGATGAAAATGGTGGTGATATTTGAACTCTGGATGAGTTCTTGGCAGTAGGTTCATGTAGTGAATTGTAAGACTCACAGTATAGTCCTGGCCTATATCCTTTTGAATGATGCTAGAATGGCAATGTTGTCGTGCTGGACTGCAGAAACATACCGTCACACCACTGCACATCTCAGAATGTATGTTTGTGCAGCAGTGTGTCATGCCATACTGGTGAAATCATTTTCACACAAGGATGTGGTTGGCTCATGCTTGCACAAATGTGAAGCCTGAAAACGGTTTGGGCAAGTCGGTGGCAGTGGCCTCCTTGTTTGAACTCAGAGAAGCACTACCAGCTATGCAGAGTGCTCATCTGCAAGAGCACAGTGGCAAAATGCCATCCTGACCTCTGTATTTGAAAGCAAGTGTTCCACTCTCTTCTGCAAAGCATGCAAAAGTTTGTGTTGATGTTATGTGGCTCCCAGCCCAAGTGAAATTCTCTGTAGTTTCTCATGGGTGGTACCTATTGGCAAGCCAAATTGGCATAATTCAGTATTGCTGTGGTTTGACATGGAGCTTATTTTATGTTCCTGTTCAGATTAGATGATCACACAGAGACTATGGGTTATTTCAGTACCAGTTTCTACAGCCCCCCTCCCACTCTCTGGCTCTTCATTGTAAAGCCATTGGGCTATTTAAGGTGTTGCCCAGCACTAGGGAAAAAAGACAGTTTCCCAAAGTTCTCTGTCATGTACAAACATATGCACATATACTGTGGAAACATAGTAGTCTGCAGTAATTCACTGCAATTATATCAGTTTCCTATTGATTTTTATCTCTCTCTTTCTCTTTTTTGTCCATGAAGAGGTGATCTAGTGCTAAACTAGTATGCCAATGTAGCAATAAGGTGATCAAGCACTAAACTCGGTAGTTTTTTAAAAATTTAAAAAAATACTTTGGGGTAACTAGAGAGAAAGATTGTGGGGATGGGTGTTGCCCACTGTCCAAAACATCATGCCCAACTTCGTGTGTCACCAGAATACCACCCACAGTCGCGTACACCATCCCTTGGGAGAACAAAACAACTGATCGCTGGGTGGCAGGGGGCCCATTTGAATTGTTTTGGCTTGAAAAAAGTAGAAGACTCCAGTGGAAGAGAGAGAGAAAATGCTCGGCATCAAGATTGATGAGGTCCAGACCAATTCAGACTTCTTTTGTGTTGTGTGATCACTTAAGAAAAAAGATTAAAGAAAAGCAAATTCATCTGTTTTACACTCACAACAAATCTGGCGATATTTGACCATACAATCACAGCCTTGTTCTAGAGAGTCCTTGTTCTAGTAAAGGCTCGTGGCATATGGTCTGCATATGTGTCTGCCTGGGAACTCTACATCCTCCCGAAGATTTTAGATTTTGGAGGTGGAAATGTTTTTGGTTTCAAGTCCTGTTGTTTCGTCTAGGGCAGTGGTCCCCAACCTTGGGCCTCCAGATGTTCTTGAACTTCAACTCCCAGAAGCTTTCACCACCACCTCTGCTGGCCAAGATTTCTGGGAGTTAAAGTCCAAGAACATCTAGAGGCCCAAGGTTGAGGACCATTGGTCTAGGGAGCATGGGTGTGTGTGTGCATGTAAGCCACGTTTATAGGGGGCCGCATGACCTTGCTCCCTGAAAATACTTTTTGGCCTCTAAAAGGCACAAAGGGTCACTTTCAATAACCTGTTTTTTTTTAAGTAAGAAAAAAACAAGGCAGCACCACTAGCCGTGGCACAGTTCCTACTCGTTGCAGACGAATGGTGAACAGATATTTGAAGGCTGTTCACTGTTCTGGCACTGTAACCAACCGTCAGACTCGAGGTAATCAGACCAGTTGTCCCTCCACTCTAAATCGAGTGTTGCTGAATGCGAGGTCTGTATCCAACAAATCCCAGATTATCCAAGACCTTATCCTGGAGGAGGATGCAGACCTGGCATGCATAACTGCGACCTGGATGCATGGGGAAAGGGGTGTTCCCTTGACCCTTGCCTGCCCTCCAGGTTATGCAGTCCCCAGTGAGTACAGCTTGGGGAGAGTGTATCGGTTCCGTAGAATCTTAATTGTGGGGTCCTGCAGGGTCCCAGCGAGTACAGCTTGGGGAGAGTGTACCGGCTCCATAGAATCTTAATTGTGGGGTCCTGCAGGGCTTGATTATCTCCCCAGTGCTGTTTAATATCTATATGAGGCCGCTGGGTCAGGTCATCAGGGGGTGTGGGGCTTCCTGTCATCAGTATGCTGATGACACCCAGCTCTACATCTCCTTTTCTTCAATAACAGTGGATACCGTTTTGTCCCTTCAGCGCTGTCTGGAGGCCCTATTGGGGTGGATGCAGGTGAATGGTCTGAAGCTGAACGGAGGTCCTGAGGGGTGGTGGTGGCCCTGATGTCAGTGGTTTGGGGAATTCCCTCTCTTTTGGAGGGAGTGACTCTCACCACAAAGAATTCGGTTCTCAGTCTGGGAGTCCATCTTGACCTGGTGCTTACCATGGAGACCTAGGTAGCATCAGTGGTCCGTACTGTCTATTTTCATCTTCGGCAGATTGCCCAACTTAATGTGGGGGCCCTCACCATTCTGGTCCATGCACTTGTAGTCTCGAGATTAGGCTGCTGTAATGCGCTCTACGTGGTGCTACCTTTGAGATCCCCTACTCTGGCTGCCCTTCATTGGCTGCCCATTCGTTTCTGCATTGATTTTAAAGTACTAATGATGACATATAAAGCCCTAAATGGTTTAGGACCTCAATATCTAGTGGAAAGCCTCCTCCCACCTAGATCTACCGGAATCACTTGTTCTAGCCAGGAAGGGCAGCTGAGGGGCCTAACACCTTTTAAAGTACTAATGATGACATATAAAGCCCTAAACGGTTTAGGACCTCAATATCTAGTGGAAAGCATCCTCCCATCTAGATCTACCGGAATCACTCGCTTTAGTCAAGATGAGCAGCTAAGGGGCCTAACACCGAGGGAGGCCCAAAGAGAAAGAACAAGAAAGCAGGCCTTCTCAGCGGTAGCTCCTTGACTCTGGAACAATCTCCCCCCCGCCCCCCGGAATTTGCCTGGCACCCTCGCTGGGTGTATTTAAGAGCCAACTCAAGACCTGACTCTTTAGGCAGGCCTTTCCTCCTGTCAATACTTAATTTATGGTTATCCTTATGGTTTAAATGTCGTTGTTTATTTTATTTTATTATTCTTGTATGTTGTTAGCCACCAAGAGTAGACTTCGGTCTAGATGGGCAGGGATATAAATTAAATAAATAAATAAAAACAAATAGCCCATTGTGTGGCATTATGTGCTATTGAGGACCTTCTAGTTTGTACCAGTCTGAGACGGTGAACCTTTCAACCAGGAATTAGGAAACAGGATTTCTGGGCCTGGGAGGAGGAGGAGAACTGCCAGGTTAACACTGAGCACAAAGTTCTCTCTTACTTAATCCTTGTTAGCAAACCAATCCTGCTTATTTCAGATGTCGTACCTCATTTCCCATATCCTGCTTTTCACATAAAAGGGCTGTTAAACTTTTTGTTGGTCTTTGTGATAAGTAACAAGTTACAATTAAAACAGAGAACATTTGGAACTGAGCTCCTGCCTTCTATCTTCAGTGGAGTTTTAGCAACATGTACAGTGGTGCCTCGCTTAACGAGCGCACCGTTTAACGACGAATCCGCATAGCAATGTTGCTTTTGCGATCGCAAAAGTGATTGCATTGCGACGTTTAGATAGGCAAAAACTCGCATTGCGATGATCGGTAAGCGTTTTGCTTACCGATCTTCGCATTGCGATGTTTACAGAACAGCTGATCGGCTGTTCCAAAATGTCCGCTGAGTGCCCAAAATGGCCACCGCAAGTGTTTTCGCGCCCTGCCCTCGCTTACCAAGGGCGCAAAAATGGCAGTGCTATGGAGGAACTTCGCTGAACGGTGAGTTTGAGCACCATAGAAATGCATTAAACTAAGTTTAATGCATTCCTATGGGGTTTTTCGATTCGTTTAGCAATGTTTTTGCATAGCGATGATTAATCCGGAACGGATTAACGTTGCTATGTGGGGCACCACTGTACTCTGCTTTTTCAAACGGTACAATGCAACATACAGTTAAAATGATCCTCCGGCATCTTCTTTTTAGTACATACCCCATGGGCCTTAGATCATGTCTCAGTGGCCATAGAATCAGGGGCCAGCATGGACAGGAGCAAAGTTACGGTGGGGCCAATAAAGGGGAATATCAAATGTGCCTGAAGATCTTCAAAATCCAGGTCAGTTCCTTCCCTTTATATGTCCCAAATAATGCAGAAGCTATGCTACTCTGTGTGCTGCTGTGGTCAGATTTCTCTCATAGAAGGCTATGTGAGGGAGTTGCTTTTTTTGGGGAAAAAAGGTGCAAGATTTTATCTTTGGTGAGCCAGTGTCAGCCAGTGCTGAAAACCAGCATTAACCGGTACTCAGCCATGTTCCCATGTCATTATTTATGGTACTGTAGCTGGTAAAATCCCTTTAAAATAAAACATCTAGGTAGTGCTCTCTTTAAGTTGTCTTTTATTTGTTTATACTTCCATAAGCCTCTCGACCATCGGTTTCTGTTCCAAAGGAAGCTAGGGAGTATCAGAAGGAACTTGCCCAGCCTGCTCTTAATGGCAAACATACCATCATTTGTGCCCCAACAGGTAAGACCACTTTGTTTCTCATTATTACTGTCCCTTGAAGTGATATTTTAAAAGTGTAAAGTGTAGCATTAGAAATTAATTTAGCCTGTGTGTGTGTGTGTGTGTGTGTGTGTGTGTAGTAGTTCTGAGGACAGCCACAGGGAATGTCTTTCAGGTCTGAGGTTTGAGAAGTTTATTTAACACATGCTTTGGGCCCCCTACAATTCCTTTATGAGGAGGTGCGCTGGCTTAGAGAGCTGAGTGTACTTTTCACATGCAAAAGATCTCAAGTTTTGTTTCTGGCACCTCCCATTAACCAATGGCCTTAGGTAGCCAACTCAGAAACCTCTGCCTTCCATTTTGCAGTAGCTGCTGCCATCCGTAACAGACAGTACTGGACCCGAGAGGCATCAGTGATGTGATACCACATAAGGCAATTTCATAGCCTTCGTGGTCTTTTTATTTATTTATTTATTTATTGAGATTTCTTGGCTCCTCCTTTCTTTGCGATGCCATACGGAGCTGCATGAGCAGAAGTGATGCAGTGAGACCAGTTCTTCTGTGTGTTAGGAACAGGAGGTAGACCATGCCATTGTACTTGTTGTAATGTGTTGTGCTACCTAAGGCCACCCGGTTTCTCACTTGAGGCTCAGAAAATCCCCACTTCTGGTTTGAACTCTTAGTCATGATGCTGCAACAGGATCAGGTGCTCACTGAGTGCTCTACAATAATTCTCTCATAACTAATATTACTATGGGAAAATATGCAGAACCATTTCAGTTTTGTCGAAAGTATGATGTGGTTGCTTTATAAATAGATCCCAACTGCTCTCTTTTCTGTTCTCATTTTCACAGGATCTGGAAAAACATTTGTGTCCATCATGATATGTGACCATCACCTCCAGAACATGCCCGCTGGGAAGAAAGGGAAAGTGGTCTTCCTTGCTACTAAAGTCCCAGTATATGAACAACAGAAGAACGTCTTCCAGGAGTATTTCAAAAGGAAGAAGTAGGGCTTACATCTTTCCGTGTACCTGTTAAGTGGTTCTCTTGACTCCAAAAATAAACAGCAAGAATGTGCTTTTTTTTGGTATGGATTTTGGGTAGATCTTATATAGTTGTGGCCCTGCAAATGTTGCAGGGCTGCAGTTCCCATGTGCCATTGTTGACAAAGCCAGTAGGTAGGGAGAATGGGATCTGCAGCCCAACAAAAGCTTGGAAGTCCACACTTGACTGCCCCTTCCTTTTCCAGGGACCCTGACATAGAGAGCTGTCACTGACCGTGAAGGTCCCCATCTTCCTATTTCTTGCCCTCTAGTCATAGGAGGGTGATCGAATTGTAGCCAGATAAGGCAGGGCTAGAGATCTGTCCGCTCTGACAGCTGAGACCTGAATAGGACTACTGGTATGAAAGTCAGGGACTCCTTAGAGAAAAGGGCATTGTACTGTTACTAAATGTTTAGTTTCTCACACAAATTATTTAATGTTTTCACACTAGTTGATGGCCCACATTAAAAGGTTAAGAGAGAGAAAAGAAAGGGTTATAGGTCAAAACTAGCTGTGTATGTTTTTCATATGGTCACCTTACTATCTTAATTTCTGCAGAATATTCAATTGGTTCTCCCACAGCTATCAACCCATGGAATGCACATAGTAAATTGTTTTTGTTGCAAACAGTGTTTGCCTTTTCCCTTCTAGGTACACTGTTGCAGGTATCTGTGGGGAAGTTGCAGCTGATAGCCCGGCAGCTATGATTATTGAAGGGAATGATATCACCATCATGACACCACAGATTCTTGTCAATTGTCTTAATGACAAAACACTCTCTTCCCTGTCGTTGTTTACCCTGATGATTTTTGATGAGTGCCACAACACTACTGGGAATCATCCATACAATGTGTTAATGTCCAAATACTTGGACATTAAGTTTGAACAACCAGAAACACCATTACCTCAGGTAAGAGCTAATGATGTGATGAACAGGTTCAGAATATATGTGCCATGCTGGGAGGGTTTTTTTTGTGTGTGTCTTGTAAAAAAGATGTGAGTTGAACATTTCTCTTCAATGTGTGATGGGAGGGATGGGGACTTTCCTGAGGTTGAAGTGCATGTGTACATGATGGCTGTAGTCCAATTTCATGGAATGTGATGTGTATCCAGAAATGTGGAACAAGGGGGAGGATCCTGCGCTGCTCCAGAAGTTGTTAGCCACAGCCAGCTTAGCTAGTCATGAGGGGTTGATAGGAGTTGTAGATTCAACAACATCTGAAGAGCCGCAGATTGTTCTGATGTGTTCACTGAGTGCAAGATGGCGAAAATTAAGGAAAGGTATCATATTTAAACTGTGTCATTTATAAAGTACCATCAGTATATATACCCTGTTTTCCCGAAAATAAGACCTAAACTGAAAATAAGCCCTAGTATGATTTTTCAGGGACGTGGTGGCACTGCGGGCTAAACTGCAGAAGCCTGTGCTGCAGGGTCAGAAGACCAAGCAGTCGTAAGATCGAATCCACGCGACGGAATGAGCTCCCATCGCTTGTCCCAGCTCCCGCCAACCTAGCGGTTTGAAAGCATGCAAATACAAGTAGATCAATAGGGACCACCTCAGTGGGAAGGTAACAGCGTTCCGTGTCTAAGTCGCACTGGCCATGTGACCATGGAAGATTGTCTTTGGACAAAACGCTGGCTCTACGGTTTGGAAACGGGGATGAGCACCGCCCCCTAGAGTCGAACACGACGTGACAAAAATTGTCAAGGGGAACCTTTACCTTTACCTTTATCTATGATTTTTCAGGATGCTCGTAATATAAGCCCTACCCCTGAAATAAGCCCTAGTTAAGTGAAACCTTGCCCTCCACCATTCTGCAGCAACCAGAAGATGACGTAACTATTTGAATAAATGTAGACTGTTGTCCATTAAAAATAAATAAATAAAACACGCCCTGAAAATAAGCCCTACTGCATTTTGTGGAGCAAAAATTAATATAA